GGTCGCCAGATGGTAGGAGCAGCAGCCGTCTTCTGGGCAGGTTGCTTTCTGGCACACAGGGAGGGTGCCAGAGGTGAATTACGCAGGGAGGGAGGGTACCTGACGTCTGCGCCCATCTGAGCTTTGCAGAAATGCTTGATGAGCTGCACCTGAGTTTCCTTCCTGGGTTCATAGTAGGACAGAAAATGCATAGCTTCCCTGAGGCACCGCAGGTATCCGCTGTTAAAGTCCTGCTCTGGATTCTTGTGAATGACTGCTGGAAAAGAAACAAAGAAAGAAAAGCAAATTCCGTGGGTTAAGATCTTGAGCAAAACGTGGGACAGGGGTGATTCATGCATTAGGTTTCTTTCAAGAGCCCGAGTCCGCGAGCCTTGCTCGTGCAACCAGACCTGGGCGTGCTACGGCCCCTGCGGGAGGGCAGAGGCCCGTGGGGGTGGATTTTTTTGGTGGTGTGCAGGACGTGCTCTGCACTCACTTTGGTCCTGCAGCTGGCTCTGCTGCTTCAGGTAGCTGACAGCCACTTCCAGGATGTCGGCTTTCTCCAGCTTGGAGTTGGGCTGGTGTCTCTGAAACTCCTTCTCCAGGAGCAGTTTCAGCTGCTCGATGCTGCTGTTAATCCGGTCGCGGCGCATTTTCTCCACCACCGGCTTCCTCAGCTGTAAGAGAGATGGAGCAGACTGCTCAGGATTTTCTGAGACCTGACCTCATTTCCCCTTCTGATGCCCTGAAACACACAGGTTCAAAGACGCTTCCTTTTGGTGGGAGGGCTTTGTGATGCTGCCTACCTGTTTCCCACTCATTTCACTTTTAAATAGTCTCCTTTTTCTCTCTTTAACCTCTTTGCCTTCCCCCAAACCACTTCCTCCCTTCTTATCTTTTCCCACGTAGCATTTATTTTATAGAGGCCTGCCCATTGCCTGGAGCGCAGGCCAGCCTTCCCAACCCTTGTCAAGGACCCTACTTACTTTATTCTTTTCTTTTGGCAGCGGTTTCTCCTCCACGTGTATCATGAGAGTGTTACTGGGAGCCATTCTCAGTCCTGGGTGCAGACCCCCGCGTCGGGCTGCAGGGCTGGGCGTTAAGACTACGCTTTGGCGGTTACCGACTGCCTCTATTTATACGTCGGGGAGCTTCAGCAGATCTGTGAGTCTGGGGATCGCTGGTGTTTCCCACAGCCGTCCGGCCAATCCGGGCACGCAGCCGAACAATAGAGGAAGCATCTATTAGCGCATGGTACATTGATTGCAAATGCCCCGGAGAGAATAACCTTCTGCCCACGCTGGCTGGTGGAGTGTGCGGCGTGGCTTTTGGGGCTGCCCCGGGGATCTGGGAAAACCCTGACCCTCCAGCTGCTTCTGTGGGATCCGTTGCGTTCCTGGGCCCTCGCATGTGTCACTCGCGTTCGTGGCGTGGAGGAGGCATGCTTTGGGGAGAAGGAGAAGAAGGGGAGCGCTGTCAAAATCAACAGCACCAAGGGCATCTCTGTTCTTTCTAGAGAAGTCACTTTCCGAGACGGCCCCCCAGGTGCCGTTTGCCAGAGCGTGGTTTTGTGCTTGTCCATACAGTCGTTTGCCCTTTTGATGGGAGAGTGTTACCAGTGTGAAAGGACCGGTTTGTTTGCGTAGCTATTTCTGAATGCTCTAGAGAATCTACACGCAGGACGGGCGGGATGTTGGATGGACAGGGTGGATAAATTGGGGAATGGGAAGGAAATGGAAATGGTAGCCTCTCTCCACACGTGGAGGGCTGTGAGCCTGTTGCACCGGTGTTCCCATTGCCTTCGTTAAGGACCTGCTGGCAGAACCGGGCCCATGCCTGTTCACCCCTGTAATTCTTGCCCTTTTCTGCTCTCTCTTTCATATAAACAAGAATGATGGTTAAGATGGGCTAAAGAATAGCATCATGTTCAACCCGGCCCTTGGCTTAGGTAGGTCACAGGCAGATAGTGAGTGGGATTTAGTAGCTGAGGACCTCAGCAAGGTGGCCAGTTCGACTTCTTGCCCGAGCTTTCTGGTGTGCTCTGTTCTCATCTGACCAAGGAGCGGCGTCATGCTGGCCTGCTGCGGTCTGAGATCTCAGAGACTGCGTAACGTTTAGCATGGTCACCCTCACGCCATTTTCTTATCTGGAAAATGAGGATAGTGCTGCTTGCTCGTACTTGCATGAAAATTGCAATAAGAATTAAGCAAACATTATTTCTTTCGTGGTGGGGGCAAGAAAAAGGAATGAAGTTGTGCAGAAGCCTTAGGTCACTTCTGACTTTGCCTTATGAGAAAAATCTCTGCCTGGATACAGTCCTTGGAGGCAGCACTGAAAATAATGCAAAGCCTACCTGAGCAAAGCTGTGCTGCCCTCTGAGGGCCTGGCCCGGGGCGGAGGAGTGCTTCTCTTCTCCCAGTGCTTGTGCACGGGAGCGTGGCGGGGAATCTGGGAATGGGAATGGCAGAGGGAACTGTGCAGCGAGGTAAGAAAGCCAAAGGCAGTTTCTTACATGGAAATCCCGAAGTGCAGCCCGAGTTTAAGGGGCAGTTGACAGGAAGGAGGGAGGTGTTGCTGAAATAGCCAGCTTCTAGTTTTCATTGTATGGCCTGAATGGGTTTATCTCTTTGTGAAGGGCAGATGTTGTCCTTGGAGTCCTTTATTCCCTGTGTTGTGGGAAAGCCAGGAGACAAGACATCTCATGAGCACTTTGAAGCAGTCAGAGGATTATGATACAAAGTAAGATACAGCTCAAAGAGCATGCCCTAGCTTTTGCCAGCTATAATAAGGTGTTGCCCTTTTTCCCCCCTCCCCATATTCTTTGGCCGGCCTTGCTTGAGAAGCTGATGTGCTATGTTATCCCTTCCCTAGCAAGAGAGTGATGGTGGCAGACCTTGAAGCCAGGAGCTGACAGGTAGGCATGTTCAAAGCTGGTTGAAGAGACTCTTCAGTGTCAAAAACCATCTTTTTCCCAACTCCTAAGAAGCAGCCCTGAACTTTATTGCTGTATTATAGCTGATAGCCAGATGGTCTTTTGGGAGTTGGATTCTTTCCCTCTAAATCATTCAGGCTCAAGCACCGTCACTAATGTTGTGAGTAGTTGCGAGGCACACTTCTATTGTCCCGACAAGAAATGTTATCAATAGGGGAAAAGTATGGGAAACGCAGAGAAATTCAAACCCACGCAGCCCGGTGCTAATAACTCCTTTGTGGAGCCTGCACTTCTGTCAAGGCGCGATGAACTCGCATGGCTTTTTCACCGAGCCGGGCTCGCCGTGCGGGCAGGGGCTTCTCGGAGGTCTGTGTTTACCAGGAGAGAGGGGCAAAGGGGCAGAGACCCCGATTTGCACGCGGGGGTGGTCAGTGGGAGCGCTGGGTTCGGCTGCAGCACTGGCTACTGGTTTCCTCCACCATGTCCCAGTTTGCGTTTCTGGGATGCGGGGCTGGTGCTGCTAAACTCCTTCACAGAGTTTGGAATTGGGAGCTGAGCCCGTGTCTGCGGTGGGAGAGTAGGGACGGAGTTGAAGTGACCCTTGTGCTTTTCTGGGGATGGTGCTGGACCCTGTGAGAATAAAGTGATGGAGGAACCGCGATGGGGAACGGTGCTCCTCTGCAGGGGGTGCGCTAAGTGTGGCCTCTTCCCACTCTCTTGCAGGGGAGGCTTTTTCCTCCCCATCTCTCAGGAGACTGGCAGAGACACTTCTTCCGTGGGACACCCCTTTGCCATCACACGGCCAGAGATCAGGGTCTGTCCTGTGGGCAGGCTGGTCTCTAATTGGCTTTTGTCTCTTCTTCAGACCAGCCCATTGCTGAAAAGCTTTTTAGGACCCAGCTAGCTCTGATCTCCCTTTCCCGGGTGATGTGCCAGTGGCAGCGTCGCTGAGCCATGAGAGCACCTGCCAGGGTCCCAAGAAGACCCGTGCTCGCACATCTGAGTGGAAATTGTCTCTGAAGGCTTGGTGAAACCCTCAGGTCTGTACTCTGCGCCACACTTGTACCTTACTCTTGCTGATACTACCCAATAAACAGTTTAAAAATTTGTTTGGCGTGGGAGGCAATATGTAAAGAAATTACCCTGCAAAACTTGCTGTTCAGCGTTGCCTCCTTCCACTCTCACAAGCCGAGTGTAACTCTGCTGCGTGAACCCGTGGAGTGGAAGTGTAGTGAAATCTGCCTCTTTTAGGGGGAAAGGTTATGTTGTTATTAGACCTATTGTATAAAATATTCCATTAAATGTCATTAGTATGGCATTATCTTGCCTCCTTTAGGCATTAGAATCCTGTCAAAAAGGAGTCTTTTATTACTGTAAAGTACATTCTTCACAGGTTTAACCTCTTTTAATTAGGTTTTCTTTAGATCCCAAATGCTTAATATACTGCCATTCCCAGGTGTTTAAGTGAAGGAAAGTGGACTTTGATCATTAAGAAACATGTGAGACAATTTGATCTGCATTTTCAGGGTTGTTAGAGGCAAAAGCAATTTCTATAGCTGCTTGTGTGGGTGACCCTGAAACAGCCCTGCACCAACGACATACTCTTTCTACAGTGAGCATTACAAATAATTAAAAATTAAGGAGAATTTATTATTTTTCTGCCCAGCTGAAATTCCCACAAGTCACCTCTCAGCGTATTCAGGAGTGCACAAGAGGGATTTATTATTTCCTGGTATATTGACTCTGAAAGGTCTGGGGATTACAGCTGCTTTGCACATGAATGGCTGGAGTGTGTTGTACAAAAGGCATGGTCTGTGGGATAATGGGGTTGGATGTGGGAAAGCTCTGACCCTGGGGGAGAGCAGGCTGGTGCCTGATGGCAGGAATCAATTATGTCTCAAAGGAACACATTGCCCCGGGAGCAGGCTTGGCGGGAGCCACCATGTTATGTGTTTACCACCCTCCTCCTTCAAAAACCCACATAAAACAACCCCGAGGAGTTCTGCTTTTACCAGGGCGCTCGGCTGCACCTTGCTCCACGCTTACCCCAGTCGGTGCCGAGTTAGTAACGTCACTGTTCCCCGTCCCAGCAGCTGGGCTGAGACCCAGCGGTTACCTCGCACGTGCTGCCAGGTGGTTTTTGGGTTTGGCTCTAAACAGATGCTGCTGACTTCAGAAAAACCTTCTGAAATACCCAGACCCCATCAGTCAGTCCCCAGGTCTGGCCACAGAAGGGCAGCCAGTCACTGACAATGCAGTGGAGGGAGCAACCGCAGAAGCTGCTGAGTTCATGCCCTTCCTTCGTTGTTTTGCGTGGTGGGTTTTTTGGAAGATGGTGGTATTCACTTCTTACGACGGGCTCGGCATCTCTGAGGATCTGGCATTACTGCCAGCCTTTCAAATGTCAACATTTGGGTGTCAAGAAACCCAGAAATGAGCTGAAAGACATAGGGATTTTGATGTTTCTAATAACAATGAAAGCATTTTGATTATTTTTTTTTTAAAAAAATGTTGATTATTGAGCATTTGAACTTGGTTTTGTATCAAAATCATTAATTTTCTCTCTTTATAGAATCATGAAGCTTGGGTGTGAAGTCTTACTGAAGGCCGTAAGTATGATGAGTCTCCTGATAAAAATCACAAGACTGGCCACGTAGTGCTGCCAGGCATTTTGGCAAGGAGCAGGTATCCTGCGGAGAGAGTATTTCAGAGGAGTGAGTTGAGAATGGGGAGTGTGGCTCCTGAGCTCTGGCCCCAACAACCCCTTGCTGTCAGCGACAAGATGGGAACACGGCGTTTTGGGGCCAGATAGGAGGGCACTCACCTCTCCCCTCCTAGGAGCAGCAGTTACTCCTGTCTGCATGTGTCAGATATTTAATCGCTCAACTCTAGGGCAGCGGTGGAGAGGGGAGATAACAGTCACGGGCTTCCCTGCTGGCCCCGAGCCTCGATGAATTGTTCCTTACCTTGGGAATGTATTTGTTCCTTACCTTGGGGACATATTTGTAACCTGAAGCTGATTCTCTCGTACTCCCAAGTGAGTTTTTTCCCCTTCCCTTGAGCTCAGCCTGAGTTTTGGGGTGTAAGCTCCTGTTCTCTTGCTTGGCAGCTGTCAGTCCCCCGGCGTGGAGCACAGCGGACGTGTTTGGTGAGCTCGGTGTCAGGTCCCGCCTGACCAGGCTGGTGGGTTTTGGAGGACCGAGGAGCGCTTTTGCCACGTTTAGCTGGCAGCAGAATGGAGCATGCCTGATAAAAGCAGACACCTGCCTTGCGGGCAAGAACGGTTTTTCAAAAACTAGATAACCCAGTTGTGAGCCGGGTGAAGGACTAGCGGAGGGGCACATGCAAGCCCTGACAGACTGTGGTCCTTGCAAGGCTGTATGGCTCCTTGCTCATTTCTAAATTGCTGAAACCAGGGACTTAGGGTCCAGGCCAGGTGTCTAGGGCCTGAAATTCCCTTACCAACTCTGAGAGTTCATGTAGTCCAGGGCACACTGGATCCTCTCCTTCGAGCAGCTCCAAGCCCAGAATAACCGTAAGTGCAGGGAGGCAGCTGATCCAAAGGAGGTGGCGCTCACGGACAGATGTGCGCAAGGGCTGAGGGCAGCTGCACCTTGAGGCTGAGGCTTTGGTAGGTTTTCAGAAGCATGGATAAACAAATTACTACCTAGTTTACTTTCTAGAGAGATCAGGTTACTGTCTGTTAAATAGTTCATTAAGTGTTTCCTGATCAAGGATTCGAGCGTGTCTTCAGCCATTTCATGGCCTTAGACAAATTGTACCAAATAACATTTTCAAAAACTGAGTACAAAGGAGAACTTAAGCATCTGCTTATTTAGGTGGTGCATGACTGCGAGTGTGGTCCAGTCCAGTAATCCAAATTCTGCCACAAGCTAGGGAGTTGGCTCCTTTTCAGAGATGCCAGAGCTAATTAAAACAAAAGTGGGCGCTGAGCATCTTTGGAAACCAGATGTCTCAGACAGCCGCTTGGCAACAGCAGCACTGCAGCCAGTATGTGAAATACTGAAATTTTGGTTTTCCTCCTTTGTGAAACGTTGCTAATAATGCATCCTTATCTCACTGGGGAGGTTGCTGAGAATTCATTAGCTGGTCTTTGTAAAGCACTTTAAAATGCAAAGCCAGTGCATTATTCCTCATCTTCTGGATGCTTTCCATGTTATTAAAATCAGGATTTCAGAAAGGCTTATCAGGGATCAAAACAGCATCCCCAACTTGAAAGGAAGCAAGACTGTTAAACCACCAACGGCCGCCTCCCCCCCCAGCCAGATGTTAAGCCCCAAAGAGCTGAAGTGGCACAAGGAATTACTTTCCCAAGTTCCCCCAGCTGGGCTGACAGCCCCTGATCAATGGTTTTCTCCACCGCGAGTGCGATGCAGATGGTCTACCCGGAGCAAGGCTTCTGTGAAGTACAAAGGGAAGTCAAACACCATTTCTAATGCAGCTTGTAGCATGGCACACTTCCTTTATCCTCGGCCTGAATGCCCTGAATAGGAGAGCAGTGTGGGAAACTGGAAGGAACTCCAAACTCACACAGTCTGCGGGTCTGTAAGACACTCCTGTCCTCAAACCACATCTGCCTGTGACAGACAGAGGGGGGGAAAGAAAATCAGATTATAAAAACTACGTGAAGGGAAAATAAAGCCCGAAGAAAAGGAAGAAAGTGAGGGAAGCTAGGCAGAGAAACAGAAATATCTCCGGGCTCAGCCAAGGGATTGCCAAGCAGCAGAGCAAGGAGGAAACGACAGGGAGAGGAGCTGCAGGAAAGAAAATTTTCCCACTGAAGGTAGCAGAGGTGGCTCCAGCCCACACTAAGACTTCTGAGCCACACATTCTGTTTGCCTCTTTAATTCCCCAGATTTGTTTACTGTGCCCCTGGAAACAGACCCTTGATATTAGTCAAGCTGCTCGTAGGCTTGTGCAAACTGTTGCAAACAAATACAGAAGCTCCTCCAATCCTTAATTGCCCAGGCACATTAATCTGAATTGCTGCTTGCTGTAATTTCAATAGGGGGTTGGAATGGGAGACTGGTGTTAGATTTTACACCAGCAATACCTTGGGGAAGCATTTCTTTTCATTAATACTTCTGAACTATTTCTCGCTGTTTGGGTGAAAGAAATGGGAAACTATAGACCGGGTTCTGGTATTGCTATCTGGCAGGTGAAAATTCAGGCTCAAATTTTTGATTAGGATTTGGATGAATTCCACTGTAGGCGCAGAGGTAGTTTGTATTTACACCGGAGTTCAGGCAGTGGCTCTGGAAGTCCAAAAGCTGCGGGGCAAATCCAGCAGTCTGCTGCCCTCCTGATGGAGCCCAAAGTTTCTGCCAACTTCAGTGAGCATCCAGGTAAGGCCCGTAGGGTTGGACCCGTTTCATGTTTCACCTCAGGATGCTCTGTACAACTCGGCGCTCGTTGAGTCTCCTACATTTTCCCGTTCTGTATTCAGAACCATTGCTCCTGTCCCTGCTCCCAAGCCTTTTAGCTTTCTCAATGACTTACTAACATAAGGCTGGGGAAGTTTGCGTACTTCTGAGTTTCCCACACCGTTTCTTAACTATATTCATTCCGGTCACAAAGGAAGTGTGCCTGACTACAAACCACATTAGCAACGGTGCTTGCCTCTGCTTTGTGTTCAGTGGGAAACCCTGCTCCCGAAAGGCCATCTGGGCAGCACGTACCAGGAGAGGAGCAACGAGCATCTCTCAAGACTTGGGAAAGCAGCAGTGTCTTTAAGCCTTCCTAAAGAGCTAACATCTGGCAGAGATTCTGGGGGAAGGCTGCTGCCTATGCTGTATTTCAAATGTGTTGGCCAGATCCAGTACCTCGAGACTAGACCTGGAGTGCCTGTTTGAGCGACTTGTACTGGAAGAGAAAATTATCGCTGCTCTTAATGCTGCTTATTAGTGAGTTAATCTCGAAAACAGAAACTGTCCTTAGCAAAACTGCTAGTTGACCCCGCTGATCACGGCATCGGCACATTTCTTCTTCACGCGCTCGATTAACGAGCTCAAGAAATGAGTTGCTACTCGGGAGTTTCTGTTGCTGAGCCTCCCCAAGAGCGATGCACAGAGTGAAAGATTGGTTTCAGAGGTGGCATTACGTGGGCTCAAAGATAATCCACAAGCTTTGAGGAGAACATGTGAAATGGTGTCACAAAAGCTTTCCCACAACTTGACATAAAAGACTCGGAGCTCAACAGCTGCTGCTCTGTACGAAAAGAAGGGAGCCTATTCAAGAGCAGTACAATGGGGATGGAAAAGCAGATCCTGGAAGAGGTCATTTAAGCCTTACCTGGCCTTACGAATAATGTGTCACAGAGTGAGAGAGAAATGGGTCCATGTGTGTATTCACATTGAAAGACATGCGTGGCCACACACTTGTATATTAATATATATGTGAGCACACGTAAATTAATGTAGACACAAACAGTATTTACTTACTCCAGTAAGACATCCCCAGACATAAGCCCTGACATTACTTGACATTATCATTATTGTTATTATTGTTACTACTACTACTACTATTCCTGTACTGAATCTTACGGAGGGAGCTACGGATGCTGGCAGGGAGCTGTGTTGAACCGAGTCGGTCGCAGACCACATCTGGGGTAAACCTGGGCCCAGCCAGGTTAAAAGAAAAGAGAGTAGAATGTGTTTTGGGGAGGAAGCAGCACGTGAGACTGAACCGATCCCAAAGCACTCGGATCCTTCTCCTTGCACGTTTATCTTGCAGGTCTTAGAAAACAGAAACGTAAAGTGCTGGGACATGGCTTGAGAGTATTCTAATGAGGTGCATAAGATACCAAGGGAGGAGAACAAAGATCCAAACAGAAAACCTTTCTGGTAACTGTGCGTGCTTGGATCTATCTGCAGTGAGGAAAAGGCCAAAAGCTGTTTTCTGTTTCACGTGGGTGAAACTGGTGTCCCAGTCCCTTGATTTAGAACAACTGGCTCTGGCTTAGTGAGCAAACGAGGCGAGGGGATTTAAAGAAATTCCGCTCTTTATCTCAGAAAGCCAGAAACCGCTCGTGTGTGCCTGTGCGTGCCGACGTGTGTGCTGCAGTGCGTTCCCCAGCGCAGAGAGCAGTGCCCGCCGCGGTTGATTTCCCGCCATCGGCAGCTGACCTCCTCCTCCTCCTCCCTCCACGCATGTGAACCCGCGGCTGGAATGCTATTGATCCGCGGCATTAGTCAGCAGCCTTTTCCCATTGAAGGGCCAGCTCTTTCCCAGCTTGTGACGCGTAATTCTGATCCCGGCCTTTCACGTACCACGCACTCCCCACCTGCTCATCTGGGAGAAGGTCATTATCCCCGGGCTATTCACCGGCAGTGGAGCATGCAAGAATAGATGCTTCTCCTTTTGTGCTGCCTATCTCCCTGATTGGCTGCAGAGTGTGGGAAACGCCACCGAGCTCGAGACCCACAGACTCTCCATGAGGTTTTACAGCATAAATATCGGGCAGCGGCGGCTTCCAGCAACACGCTTCTCCTGGACTTCCACCCTGAGACTTTCCTCAGGGCAGATGGCTCCCAGCGCCGTTTTCATGGAGCCCGACAACCTGCTGACACCGAAGGAGAAAAACAAAGTAAGTCCAGGCACAGCGAGGCAGCTTCGAGCCCTGCTCTGTGCTCTCCTCACAGCCGTTTACACCAGCTAATAAAGCGGCCTCACGGTGTTTTAGGAGCAGCGATGGGCAAAAAAGAGTCCTGTGAAATGGCAGGGGAAAGATCCTTCTAATAATAGTCTCTTTTCCTTTGCTTTTCACAGCTGAGGAAGCCGGTGGTGGAGAAAATGCGCCGCGACCGGATTAACAGCAGCATCGAGCAGCTGAAACTGCTCCTGGAGAAGGAGTTTCAGAGACACCAGCCCAACTCCAAGCTGGAGAAAGCCGACATCCTGGAGATGACTGTCAGCTACCTGAAGCAGCAGAGCCAGCTGCAGATGAAGAGTGAGTATTGAACTCTCTTTCAGTCTCTAGCTTCCTGCAAATTGGTGACAATTTTATGAATCTCTAGCTAGAAACAATTGCTCTAAACTGGTCTTTCTTCCCCCTCCCTTTTTTCTTCCCTTCTCTAGCTGCAGGATCCTTCCATAAAAGCTCTCAGTTTGACTTCAGGGAGGGCTATTCCAGGTGCTTGCAAGAAGCTTTCCATTTCCTAACACTTCATAAAGTCCGAACTGAAACACAGACCAAACTTCTAAGCCACTTCCAGAAGAGCCAGTCAGCCACGACAGAGGCGGCCTTTTCTCCCGGGAAGCCCAGCGCCCCGAAGCAAGCATCTCCAAAAGACGTCGGTACTCTCTGGAGGCCCTGGTAGTCAGGGGAGCCCTCGCTTCACGGACCTTTGCCTTTCACAGTCCAGAGGAGGGATCTGACTGCATCCGATAGTCCAGCTCTGATCCTCTCTTCTGTAGGGAATTTTATTTCCCCGTGTATTTTATTTATGTGTGAAAAAAGTGGCAGGCTTTCGGCTTTTATGGGATCCTTTGGCGAAAGTTGAGGCGTTCTGTCGAGCGGTGCTGGAGCTGTGCAGACGCAGCCTGCCGCCCGCCCGGTCGGGGGCGAACACCTTCCAAACGAAGGAGGGCATTTTTTTCGGTAAACGTTACAGTTGTGACGGACGAGAACTGCTGTAGGAGAGATTTCTCTCACGTTGCTTGTAAGAGCCGTTGGCTTTACTCTGGCCTGACTAGCGACACCTGCTTGTGCAGTCACTCCAGAGGGTAAATTTACTTCCCTTCGGTTCATGCACACTTGATTAAAATCAGCTTCCCCTCGGTTTTCTTATAACTTGTACAGCATCAAAGATGGGTTTTGTTTTGCTTTGGGTTTTTCCTCCATGTCCCCTTTTTTGTAGTCCTAGAATCTAAAGTGTGATGGATGAACAGAAGCTAGGAACCTATGTGGAATATTTCTACTATTTTGCTGCTTTTTTCGATTTAGAAAAAGAGTATGTTACTGCTTTACGTTAAAGAAAAAGTAGTAGGTTAAAGTCTTAATTTGTCAATGTTATACATTTTGGGTGTAAGCTATGCTTTTCCTAGCATTTTCATTATAATAATGATTTTTTTGTCTGTATTGAGTGGTTTAATTCATGATGGATAGTGTTTGTCCCACTGCTGGGACAGCCATATGGCTTACGTGCATACTGTGTATGCGTCTCTGTGTGCGTAGAGAGCAATAAAATGCATTTGTGTGCAACTTCTGTCTGGGTTGTCTGCCTCTGAGGGATATGCAGCCACTTGTGCCCCCGAAGAACACCAGTATGTCAGTCTTCTAAAGGAGCGGGACGCTTTGTAAAGTGAAAGGAGCTCATATTCTCATCTGCTTTATATGTTCTTAAGCGAGTCCCTCACACCCTTAACCCCAGGCAGTGAGTGCTGCTGTCACACAGATCCTCTCAGCTGAATCATATTGAGCGTCTCCTTGGCCACTGCCCCTCCGCTCCACACAAAACCTGCTCACCCGAGCTGCAGAGCCCTGAGCCTGCTGCTCTCCCTGCAGGCAG